AGATAGATAGATAGATAGATAGATAGATAGATAGATAGATAGATAGACAGATAGATAGACAGATAGAAAAACAGACAGACAGACAGAGACAGAGAGAGAGAGACAGTTGATAGAGATCTAGATAGCTAGATATAAATTTATAATGTTGTTAAGCACAAAAGGATGCCGCTGCAATTGTGACAGAAAAGAGAGGGATTTGATAGGTCTCATTTAGCTTATTTCATTCATATCTTATATTTTGTCAAACGATCAATCATAAATGAAGATGGTAGATTATTTTGAGAACTGATCAAGTGAGATTGTGAATCTGGTACTTCCCATTGCTGCAGCATTAGCTGTAGTAAAAGGTCATGGAAGCCATTTCAGATTATGCAGATATATAAAAACATATGTTTTAAAATGGAAATATTGCCCAGCTATTCTTATCTGCAGTGTTTTAAGGGGTCTTGTTAAAAATTAATTCCCAAGCAAATCACAATGACTTATCAACTATCCATGTAATAAAAAGGCAGGAGAAGAAAGAAAATGACCAATTTCCTAAAAGAAAATTCTTCTTCCAGCCTAATCCAACCTTAACTGAAAGTGAAGGTAGAAAACAAAATGTACAAAGATTTTTTACAAAGTATATTACCATCAATCCAAATTACCATTCTATATGGAATACAGGTACCCTTAAATTTTCAACCATAATTGAGTCCAAAATTTCTGTTGCTAAGCAAGACAGTTGAGAGAGTTTTGCCCCATTTTATGACTTTTATTGCTACAGTTAAGTGAATCACTGCAGCTGTTAAGTTAGTTAAGTGAATCTAGCTTCCCCATTGACTTGGCTTGTCAGAATGTTGCATAAGGTGATCACATGACCCCAGGACACGGCAGCCATCATAAATATGAATCAGTTGCCAAGCATCCAAATTTTGATCACGTGTCCATGGATATGTTACAACAGTCATAAGTGTGAAAAACAGACATGTTCACTTTCTTCAATGGCGGTGTTAACTTTGACCGGACACTAAATGAATGATTGTGAGATTACCCATATTTATCCATCCATCCATTTATTTTTAAACCACCAACTCTCTGTGTGATTTACAAGAGACCACACCTAAAGTATGACTACAATAAAGTATGGGACACGATGGCTCGCCTGTTAAAGACCCTCAAATGGACAGCTGACAGCCTGGGTTCGACACCCGAGCTCCACACAATGCAGGGGTGTTAAACTCAAGGCCCGGAGGCCGAATCCAGCCCAGGGAGTGCTTAGATCTGTCCTGCAGGGCCACCCTGGAAACAGCGAAGGACCTGCCCGCTGTGCTTCTGCTATTAAAAATAGAGCTCTGGAGGTCCACATGTGCCCCCCTCCCCAAACTCCGTTTTCACAGGCAAAGGGTTGCAGGAGGCCATCACAGATGAAAATGGAGCTCAGGAGCATGTTTTCTTTAGCAGAGTGCTCAGGCCACCACAGGCACCCCCAACACAAGTGACATCAAGCCCATCCCGGCCCCCCAAGAACAAACACAACCCTGATGTGGCCCTCAATAAAATCGAGTTTGACATCCCTGACAAAATGGGATGAGCTCCCATTATTTGCCCCAGTATCTGCCCACCTAGCAGTTTGAAACCACGCAAATGCAAATAGATTAATAGGTACCACTTTGGTGGGAAGGTAATACACTATGCCTCTGACTTATAGTCATGATGGCCACATGACCACGGAAATTGTCTTCAGACAAAGCTGGCTCCCTCAGCCAAGAAATGGAGATGAATGTAAATTTCCTTTCAAGAGATAAATCAGCAGGCATAGGCATATCTTTTCTCTAGGTTGTATCAAATAGTGCCATTCTATCCAAAGATGCCATTATGAATGCTAATATTCCAGTAAAATTGCAAAATTAAACAATACAAGTTAAACTTTTGTAGTTAAAGGCTTTACTGAAATCCACCAGGATCCAGTTCCAAATATGCACGAAGGGGATCAGAGGACACATAAGCAGAGAAGGGATTATTCTAAAAAGAAAATTGTCCCTCCTCAATATATATATATATGTAACAGGATATCTGAAATTCTGTATTATTATTGCAGCTTGTCGCATGGTCAGCCACAGGATTAGACTGGATTTGGCATTTTTTTTTTTTTGTCCATCTATTGAGTCCTTCCCAAGGTCCTGGGATAGGCAGATGTTGTTCTTTGATGTTTTATCATATTATTATAGGAGTGGAAGGAATGGCAGATCCTGGGGGATGGAATTCAAAGAGGGATCAGCCTAGGGGTGTCAAACTTAAGGCCCGCAGGCCAGATCCAGGGGGCTGACTTGGAAACTGCAAAGGACCAGCCCGCAGTGCCTCTGCCAGCAAAAATGGAATTTGGAGGGGCAGTGCGCCCTCCCGAGCTCCATTTTCTCTGGCAGAGGGTTGCAGGACGCCATTGCAGCTGAAAATGGGGCATGGGAGGGCCGTGCGTGGGCCCCCCAGGCTCCATTTTTCCTGGCAGATGGCTAGCAAAACAAACTAAAAACAAAAGAAAAGGAGAAATGTTTTCCCTTTTGCATTTGATTTGAGCATGCAAGAAGGGACAGGAAAGGAGAAAGGGAAAGAGGAAAGATAAAGAAAAAGAAGGGAAGATGGGCAGACAGCAAGGAAGGAAAAATAAGGAAAGAACGAAGGAAGGAAGGAAGATTATAATGAGAGTGAGCAAGGGTCTCAGGGAAGTCCTGCCTTAGCACTTGGACACCACAGGTGCCCCCGACATGAGTGACATCAATCTGGCCATGCTTACCATGGCCATGCCCACTCCCCAGTCATGCATACACCTAGCCCTCCAAGGTCAAACACAACCCTGATGCAGCTCTCAATGAAATCGAGTTTGACACCCCTGGCTTAGAATCTCCACATAGCCACAAAGGAGCTAAGCTGAACCCCTCTTGAATTCTGTTGACTCTTACATAACTGCTAGCAGGTGCTAACTGTTAGTTGAGAATATTCCTATGCACAGATGTGAGTAGCAATAAATCACTTTAATTTAACCTTCATGTGTGGATCTGATCTTTCACAACTGACAATTACCAAATTATGTCTTAACAACTACCACATTGATATCATTAAAAATAGCCTTCTCATAACAACTTTCCACATTATGGATCATTTGCAAACAAGTGAGAATTTCTCTACTACTGAATGTTTCTGACAGGTACCCAAGCAAGTGAGAAATTCCATCAACAGTTTTGAAAATTCACATTAGTATATATACAAAGACAATAATTTTGTAGCTATCCGAAATAGAAACCACTATTTACAAAGGTTGTGGTGGAACTACATGGCCTTGCCTTATATGAGATTAACAAGCAAATGTGTTTCCTATAAAAACCATGGTAAGCTGATGCCTTTCTGGCATTCAGTCAGGCCCCCAAAATCAAGAAAGACATGGAGAGTTACTTCCGAGAAGTTTCCTTTATTTTTCTTCACCTATAGACAGAAATCTTCCTTAACTAAATAGAATATATATTTTTTTTATTGGCCAAGTGTGATTGGACACACACAAGGTAGTCCTTGACTTACAACCAGTCGTTTAGTGCCTGTTTGGACTTGGCACTGAAAAAAGTGACCTATGACTGTTTTTCACACTTATGACCATTGCAGCATCCCCATAGTCACATGATCAAAATTCAAACGCTTGGCAACTGATTCAAATTTTGGATGGTTGCAATGTCTTGGAGTCCCTTTTGCGACTTTCTGACAAGAAAAATCAATGAGGAAGCCACATTTACTTAACCACCGTGTTATTAACTAAACAACTGTAGTGATTCACTTAACAACTGTGTCAAGAAAGGTTGTAAAATTGAGCAAAATTCCTTTAACAACTGCCTCACTTAGCAACAGAAATGTTGGGCTCACTTATGATTGTAAGTTGAAGATCTTAACTCTCTCCCAACCAAATTACCTAAGCTTTGCTATCTTCCTGGGCCTCTGAAATCTAGCCCCTCCTTCCTGGGAATACAACTACATTCTACCATATTTTCATTGGTTAGCAAGATACCTTTTGCGAGGGGCCTTTCCAGCCTCTGAATGCTGGATCCAAGCCGGTGTTTTTCCAGATCAAAGACAATATTCATCATCCACTTAATTTTGGATAGGCACTCCTTATGAGTAAGCAGGGAAAACTACTGTTTTATTTATTTATTTATTTTTATTTATTTATTTGATTTGCCAATTGTTTACAAGATAATAAGTATAAATGTATACATAGTTGTGAATACATGAAATGGGTACATATAAGAAAAATAAAAGAATAAGAGAAACAATAGGACAGGGACGGTAGGCACGTTGGTGCGCTTATGCACGCCCCCTACAGACCTCTTAGGAAAGGGGTGAGGTCAATAGTAGACAGTCTAAGGTTAAAGTTTTTGGGGTTTGGGGAAGAAACTACAGAGTCGGGTAGAGTATTCCAGACATTGACCACTCTATTGCTGAAGTCGTATTTCCTGCAATCAAGTTTGGTGCGGTTTACTTTGAGTTTGTATCTATTGTGTGCTCTTGTGTTG